CGCGGGTGCCGGGGGGGACGCCCGGCGCGGGACTGGTCGCGCGGTCTGGGGCCCTCCTGGCGGCGACGCGGGAGTGTATGTAATACCGCTTCCCAGCGGGGGGAAGGGCCTCCCAGGCAATGGCGTGTCGCGCGCGGGTGAGGCCACGAGGTGGGGGCCAATGGGAGGCCCGGTAATGTCACCACGCCCAGCCTGCCCACATTGCTAGGGTACTTCATTTTCCATATGAAGACACTGAGGCACGGAGGCTGATCGCTGAATGAAAAGCAGCAGTAGCAGCAAGAGCTGGGTTTAGAACCCGGGCTGCCAGACTGGGGGGGGCGGGGTCTGTAGGGCAGCGGTAAAAGCAATGCAGTGACCTGGGTTTGTGTGTGTGCGACCTCCTCAGTTACCCACGTATGTCTCCTCTGTAGTAACCCGGTGGGTGGCATCACCCCAGCCTCCCAGTCCCAGGTGCGGGGGCGGGGGGGGGGTCAGGACGGAGTCCTAGTTAGATACCGGTGAGTCAGCACTGACTCACCCTATGGGGACCGGGCGAGATGAACCAAATGATGTCACGATTTAGAGGGGCTGGGTTTGGTGAGGACAGGTGGCTTTTAGCCTGAAAAAAAGGAAACAGACTTTGAGAGGCTGCACAGCCGGGCCCGTTCATGGGCCAGTAGGCAGGTGGTGGTAAGGTCACTCTGCCCCGGCCTGTGATGAGAGAGAAGGCAGTACCTGCTCTGCTCTGACCTGTGGTACAAGAAGATAGGCCAGGAAGTGGGGTTTGCTCTTTTGATGTTTGCTTTTCTTTTTTTTTTTTTTTAAGTTTATTTATTTTTGAGAGAGAAAGAGCATGGTTAGTAGAGGGAAGAGGAGGCATGTGCCACAGAGAATCCCAAGCAGGCTCCTCCGCACTGACAGTGTGAAGCCCCATTGGGGACTGGAACTCAGGAACCGCCAGGATCATGACTGTTTGGGTCAAGTAGCTGGACGCTTGCCCACCGAGCCACCCAGGCACCCTGCTCTTCATTTTTTACGGAAATCTGAAATCAGATGTATGTGAAATCAGATCTCTTAAAACTGGCAACCAGCTGAGTTTTTAAAAAGTCTATGGGCGGGGTGCCTGGGTGGCTCAGTCGGTTAAGCTGCCGACTTCGGCTCAGGTCATGATTCGCCAAGCGGTTCGTGGTGGGTTCAAGCCCCACGCCAGGCTCTGTGTGCTGACAGCTCAGAGCCTGGAGCCTGTTTCGATTCTGTGTCTCCTCTCTCTGACATTCCCTCGCTCATGCTCTATCTCTCTCTGTCTCAAAAATAAATAAACGTTAAAAAAAAAAATTAAAAAAAAAAAAAAAGTCTATGAGCTAATCTGACAATGCTGGTGGGATCCAGGAGTAACCCTGGCCCCAGGGCATACAGAGGTGGGAAGACCAGGTTTACAGGAGCCAGTGCATACAGTGGAAGTTGATGACTTCCAACAGACGAGTAGAAAGTACTGAAGATTGCAGGTGAGCAAGATCTCTGTTTGAGTCCTTAGGGGCTTGCTTTTCTAATTTTTTGTTTTTTGTTTTTTAAACAGGGTGCATGGAGGTCTGTGTTAGCGCTGAAGCCCTCCTCTCTCTCCTGTCTCACAATCTGGTCCGTCTCAAAAAGCCGCGCTGCAGTCTCAGGGATGGGCTCATCTCCCTCTTTCCCAGAACCTTGCTGTAATCAGCAGACCAGCCTGGTGCGTGGAGAAAACCAGGGCTGCAAGTTGGCATTTGCCTTCCCTGTGGCTGGCAGATGGGCTTTCTGTGACCAGAACCTGTTTTGTGGACAAATCTGATTCTGAAATAGGTGTGATATGGGAGGGGAGGCCCCATTCCCACCCGCTGAGGTCTGTCCCCATCGGAGTACTCTTCCTCCCTCCTCCCTCCTTCCTCGCTTCCCTGTTGCTTACAGACAAAGGCAAGCTTGGAGTGGGAGAAGGAGCAGGACTGCTTCCTCCCTCAATCTGGCAAGCCTGGAGAAGTCAGGAGGCTGAGCTTTTTAGCAAGGACTCAGGAGATGGGGTTACAAACCTTTCTTCCACAAGAGTCTATTGATGCTCTAGCTTCTAAAATGATTCCTGCAAGGAAATTAAGCCAGCTTTCTCTTGGATTGAGGCAGCCACAGTGCCACTGCTTTCTGTGGTGTAGAGCTATTGAGCCCAGCCAGAGTTGAGCCACTTCTTCCCCTGCCCTCCCACACACCGTGACACCTGCTGGTCCTCCAGTTCTGCAGAGCCCTGGGCCTGTGCCTTGTGCTGGTCTGCCTGGGCAAAGTGGAGGTTGAGAACAGCACTTGCACAATGATGCCTTATGAGCCCCTGTGGGTTTACATAAAGTCAATCAGAGCAGGTCGGAAGCTAGGGTTTTTTTGATGGACAATAGAGCGTGATGTGGCTGTTTCCTGCCTCATTTACATGCGTTTTCTTGCTGTGCAGAAACGGTTTCGAGAGTGCAGATCATGATGCTGCAGAAAACCTGTTTTAGGAGTGGTGTCTGGGCAGAGTGCACTGGCCAGGAGGCCAGCCTTGCAGACCACCCTTGGGGTCTTCATGTGCCCGGAAATGGGAAGCTCACTGCAGCTTCCAGAGGGGCTTTCCTAGGACGGGAGCTTTGTCTCCCTTTCCCCAGCATAATTGACTGATAAAAAGCTAGATATAAACCAGATATAAAGTATACAATGATTAGATGTTCTACAGGAGGGTTTTTAGCTTTTTGAAAGGCTTGACCATGAAATTAAATGCCTTTGGTTATCAATATTTGAAATAAATGAGCATTTGAAATAAAACTCATTTTGTTTTCATAGCTTCACAGGACCATGGCTACTGGGTGAATCAAGTCCCGCCCTCCATCCCCTCATGTTTTAGTGACTTCTGCTGTGTGCAGTCCCTTAGCTCTTGTGATGCTATTTTACTCTTGTGACACTTGTGAGTGGACAAGTCTTGACCCTCAAGTGGGCTGCCTTCCAGGGAGGAGAGGGCAGCATGTACTCTGAGAGGCTGCCAGTAGTGAGCAAAGGTGCCTGGAAGCTGGGAGGTGCCTTGATGGGTCCAGGACACATGCAGCCAAAGCAGGAACGGGCATCCTGACTTCTCCTCCAGTCCCTCGGGCGGCCCTTCAGGGCCTGCCCCTCATTGCCTCTATACCCTACTTGGTCAAACAGACCCATTCGGGGGATGCTTGTTTGCAGTTTCTGAACTTGAGGACTAAGTGAGAGATGTCACATGTCCCGGGTCACGCTCTCTTAGGGTCTTGCTGTCCAAAGTGGGGTTAGAAGGCCAGCTGGAGGCTTGTTCGAAATGCACAATCTCAGCCCACTCCTGCTGGCTGTACTTAGCAAGGTCGTCAGTGGTTCCCGTGCACTGAGGAGAATCACTGATCTCAAGAATATTGCAGGGACCAGAGCACAGGAGACTTCTTACCTCTCTGGGGACTGCACAGACGTTCTGAAACCTGACTGTGGTGATCCAGCAGGCCCACAGACTTCGTTCTAAGGGCTCAAATTGCTCTCCCAGGGTTGGGAGGGTAATTTTACACTAGAGGCTGGTTCTGGATTATCCTTGGGTCAAAAAGAAGATGTAACCAAAAGATATTGAGCAACAGGGTCTGCCCCAAACTTTGCAAGTTCCTTTAGCAACATTCCTTTAGCAAATGTGTCAGCCCTGAGTGAAAACGGGAGTGATGGGAAGGAAGTGTCCACTGAGTCTTGCGTACAGCTGAAGCAGGAAGGAGAAGCACCTACTCGGGCCGCTTTGATTTTAGCCGCCAGCCCAGGCAGGTGGCCCATCAGTGTAGTGGCTCTCCATTCACGCCCACCCTGGGTCAGAGCCCACCCTGCCCTTGCCCTGCCTGCCTGCCAGTTTCCCCCAGTATGGCGAACAATTTCCTGACCTCAGAGAAGTTTTCTAAGGTCATTGTTCCAAAGGCCCATCTGTCTCTGTCCAAACATATGCAACCCCCTGGAATTCTTTGGTTTATTTTATTCTCCGATTGTTTCATATTACCATGTCATCCTGTCTCTGTCTTTGATACCCCACATGCAGAACTGGATTGGGTTTAGGAGTGGTGTGTGTCAGTAACAGAATGTCCATTTGTTTATTTATTTTTTACATTTTATTTATTTTTAAGAGGGGGGGGGCACAGCACAAGTGGAGGAGGGGCAGAGAGAGAGGGAGACACAGAATGGGAAGCAGGCTCCAGGCTCTGAGCAAGCGGTCAGCACAGAGCCCGATGCGGGGCTCGAACTCACAAACCATGAGATCATGACCTGAGCCCAAGTCAGATGCTTAACCAACTGAGCCACCCCACCCCCAGAATGTCCATTTAGAGCCATCATGTCTGAGGGCCTGCAGTATTCCAGACTCACACTGGCCACTTTGCATCCATTCTACTTATACCTTTCAAGAATCCAGCTTGTAGGTGGTTTGTCTCCATATTACATGTGAGGAATGTGACGGTCTGCTCAGGGTCATGCAGCGGGCAAGTGCGGGCACAAGGCCGGTGTGGTCTCACAGCCCAACACTTTCCCCTTTACTGGCTTGGCATGAGCTCAGTTGCACTGTCACACAAAAGAGGACTTGAGGCCAGGACTTTCTGCACCCTGCCAGGCTTTGCACACTGGGGATGCCTGAGCCAGCAGGACGGTCGCTGATGCAAGAGAGGTCAGTCTTGCCTCACTTGTGGTGAACCGGTAGAGCCTGCAGTTGGGGTTGCTCCTTAATCTGTCCTAAGTCAGAAGTTAAGCAGAGAGAAAAGAAGACCTTTCACCCATTCTGCTGATTCTGTTTGCTTGTTAACTAAATGCTACCCTGCTTTGTCTGTGACAACTTTTCACGTGACGGAGTGCTGTCGGTCGTGCGTATGGTGGAGCTACTGTTCTCTACTGAAAAATGAGGACTCTTCCTCAAAACTCTAGGGAGAGTAACATTTGGGTGGAAATACACTGATACCCATTGAAAGTCTCCCTCTGAAATGCTTCCTTTGAGGCTTGCCGAGATGCCCGTCGTGGTAGGAGACATCATGAAGCTGCTCTGCTCCATTTCCGAGGAGAGGAAAATGAAGGCGGCCGTCAAGCACTCTGGGAGGGGCGCCCTGGTCACAGGGGCCGTGGCCTTCGTCGGGGGCCTGGTTGGAGGCCCACCCGGGCTAGCTGTTGGTAAGCGTGAATCCCTTGCAGGGGCAGCCAGCCTGGTGGGTGTTGTGAAAAAGGCCTTTGAGACCATGGAGACCTCATAAACTTCTCTGTCCTGTGTGAGATGTTCAGTCAAGTTGCTTCTGTGAAATGATCTCTGTGTACATAATGTATCCTATTGAAAACGCAGCTTCTGAGTGTGAATGTGTCAGAAGTGCAGGGTGTTCTTGGAAATGGCATGTGTCATGCAGACCTGGGGGATGCCTCTCCCCGCAGGGGTGTGTCCTAGAGTCCGAGGATATCGGGGTGTCCTGGGTCCCTTGGATAGTCTCCTAACCCCGTCACCATTGCATATCACTGCAGAAGGGAACCAGGGAGGAGGCTGGGATTTGCTGAGCACCTGCTAGGAGCACATGCTGTCTGGCCATTTTACATAAGCCCATTCAGAGAGACTGCCCCATTCTGAAAGCAAACAATCTAATGCAGAAACAGCAATAAACTATGCTAGAGTGGCCATCCCTGCCCCTTTCTTTTGCCACCTGCTTCTATTTGAGAGCCAGTTTCTGGCAATGAATGGAGGTTTGGCTGATTTTCCCATCATTCCTTGGAGATAGGATGAGGTTGCTTCCTTTGGCTTAGGAATAGGAAGGAAGAATTCCTGTGTGGCCTGAACCGTGGGCTAGGGTGGCATTAGTGAGCTGGCTGCTGTGTGGGCCTGACTTGAGGAGGGGCTGGATTATGCCTCCCTTGAGGTGCCTCAGATGGACCCTGAAACATAGGGGCATTGGCTAAAGACATGGTCTGCTGCATTGGGCTCAGTGAATACTTAACTGAATGCCTGCCTTGTGCTGGGGAGGCTGTGCTGGGGACATTGGAGAGCTCAGAGTCTGGTGGAAATCCTGTCTGTACACGAGTATAGGCTGGAGAGGTGACTGTGTGTCTGCCAGGTTGGCTTCTGTTTCCCAGCTCCCCGGGATGGCTTCCTGCTCTGTTCTGCCTTTCTATAGCAGGATGGGCATATCCGAGGACATTTCATGAAGCTGAGATCACATTGGGGAGTAAATCAGCATGTGGGTGGCCCCAGACCTTCCACATGTACATTTCCCTTTCCAAACTGTGAATTAGTGAGTCCTGACTTCAGCTTCTCACCATCCAAGAAGCAGCCAGTGAGGGCGGAGACCAGGCCATTGCCTCTTTCCTCAGTGACATTTTGTATCTTTGTCCCACCCCATCTAGTGCACTCAGGGGCGGTCTTGATAGGATCGTTTATCATATAGCTGTTCTCAGATGCCATTGTGGGAGCATATATTTTATTCGGATTATGTAAAAGCTGGTGGAGAACAGGATGTCTGCAAAGAGAACCCGGGGGATTCGCTACTTGCAGCCCCTGCTCGTGGGCGGGAGTATCATTTTACCCAGAAAACAAAGGAATTTTCTCTTCTCCAAAGAGTTAGTAATTTGCTGGTCGATATTCCTGGCGACTTTTTGCATTAAGTGCTGCTCTAAATCAAATATTGATGTTCTCATAAAGGTTTAGTGCAGATGTGTGCAACTCTTGTCGACTCTAAGCACTTCACGGGTGTCATGGGGAAAAGTTCAGTAAAACTTGTAAATTACTGATTTTCCCTCCCCAGAATCCTCCCTGCCTTAGGAGCAGAAGGGGAGCCTGCCCAGGGGCAGTGCTGAGGCTCCAGGACTCGATGTTGGCCTGGTCTCTGTCTCAGGGGAGGGTGTGCTTCTTGAGAGGGTGCAGGTTTACGGCGTGTGTGTAGGGTCCAGCCTACATATGGGTCCTCCCTGGCCCGGGGCTGTATTCTTTCAGATAAACCTCTTATTTGGGAGCAGTCGTAGATGTACAGAGAAGTTGGCAGGACCATGCAGAGAATTCCTGTATATCCCTCACCCAGTTTCTGTTCCCCTAACGTTAACGTCTTGTATTACAATGATACGTTTGTCAAAACTAAGAAGCCAACACTGATACCTGACTATTAGCTGTTCTCCAGACTTTATTTGGATTTTGGCAGTTTTTGCATTAATGAACTTTTCCTGTCCCCAAATCCAGCTCAAGATATCACACTGCATTTAATCCTCATGTCTCCTTAGTCTCCCCTGGTCTGTGACGGTTTCTCAGACTTTGCTTGTCTTTCACAGCCTGGGTAGCTTTGAGGAATATTGGTCAGGTATTTGTAGAATGCCTCTCTGTTTGGGTCTGCCTGATGACTTTCTCGTGATTAGCCTGGGGTTATGGACCATGGAAGGAGGTGGTGTGCCTATTTCATAGTGTCATTTCAGGGACACGTGACACCCACAGGGCCTCCCTGGTGACACCCACCTTGCTCACCTGGTTAAGGTGGTATTTGCCAGGTTTCTCCACTGTGAAGTTACCGTTTCCCATTTCCATGCTCTGCTCTACTCGTTGGAAGAGAGTTGTCATGTCCAGCTAGCTGGGCTGCATATTTTAAATACCTGATCATTGATATTTGAAAATCATGGGACCTTTTGAAGATACAAATCTAGCATTCTGTGCAGTACCAATGGGTTGGCAAGGGGTGGCCACGGCCCATTTAGATAGGGAAACAGCTCCCTGTTACCCACAGGCTCACCCAGCCTTCCTCATTCCTCTCAGCCCCCTGCCTGGCCCCTGAAGGCACTAGGGTTTGAGACCTCTGCCCCAGGGTGCCTTTCTGTAACAAACCTGCATCCCACTTGATTAGACAGGACTTTCCGTTGACATAAGGACATCAAGTCTCCAAATCGTGCGCCTTAAATTTGATCATAAATTTACATTTAAAAACACTGATTATGCCCTTTTGGGGCCGCTGAAAAAGAAATAGTTGAGTAAGTTAAATCTGATATTTATCATCATACAACTCTGGAGGGGTTGCATTAAAAATAGTTGTTTCAAGAGTAAAGGTCTCCTTATCTGTCCCCAGGGTCCTTTAAGCACATGATTTCACTAGATATTTCCAAAGTTCAGGGGCAAAGAGCATATTAGACACTCAATGGAGAAAACTCTGCCTCACCACTGAGATAATTCTCCTTAAAAATGCACTTGATCCCAGCTCTCTCCTTTCAGATGAGAGAGATTTTTGTGGGAAGCATGGGAGCCTTCGGCCCCTGGAAAAGATTGTAGTTAGCACAGCTATGAGGTGGGAGACGCTTCGTGCAGAGCTTAAGGAAGGACATGCTTGGGTGTCAATTATACGGACCCAAATGGACTAAAGACCACATAAACCTCTGCCCCCCGCACTGTGGGGTAGAGCGGGCACAGAGCCGAGCCCGTTCTGGCCCTCCCTGAATGTGCCTACTCGTCATGGTGGTGGACGTGCTCTCTGCAAGAACCTGAGACCGTCATTTACGATTACGGCCCAACTAATTAAGCCTTCCCTTGTTTTCTAGGGGGGGCCGTCGGGGGTCTATTAGGTGCATGGATGACAAGCGGACAGTTTAAGCCAATTCCTCAGATCCTAATGGAGCTGCCACCCGCTGAGCAGCAAAAGCTCTTTAATCAAGCCACCGCCATCGTCAGGCACCTGGAGTGGATGGACGCCGTGCAGCTGACCACGCTGGTCATGGGCAGTGAGGCCCTGCAGCAGCAGCTGCTGGCGATGCTGGTGAACTATGTCACCAAGGAGCTCCAGGCCGAAGTTCAGTACGATGACTAGGTCGTTCCTCCTGGGACACAGGGGTCTCGTGTACGTGATTCAGACCCACAGAAGGGGACAGGGGGTTTGGGAAAGCCCCACATCATCAGTGTGTTACCTTGCGTGGAATGAAAGCTGCTGGAGAGGTTACGGCGGCGCGGTATCATGCTCTGGAGATTATTTATGAAGACGTCGTGTTTTGGGGTCGTGTGCACTAATATGCACTGACCACCCTGTGGCTGGAGGGCTGGTGAAGAGCGACATCAGTGACAGCTTTCCGGGTCCACTGTTACTCACAAGGCAGTGTGGCGGAAGGCCCCTGTGTTCCACCTCCCCACCTGTGAAGGAGTCCTGTCCTAAGCACCTGTTAGAGGACGCCTGTCCTAAGCACCTGTTACGGGACCTGTTTCTCCCCTGGGGCCCTGGGTCTCAGGACCTGGGAGCTGGCCCATGAGGGAATCACATTTCCCTCATGTGCCCCTTCCCTGGCCAGTGACTTCCAAGTGTCCCTTCCATGGAGGGGCGGTCGGCATGTTGAGTGAAGCCACAACATCAAGGCCCCCAGCCCTTCTCCCACATGGCATACCTGGGCTCTCACCGTCCCAGGGGCTTACTCTCCCCATCTGAAAAGTCGTGGTAGTTCTTGAGGTTTGCTTTTCAAATTAAGTACTTTCAGTAAAAAGTGTTGCTCTTTCTTTTTTTTTTTTTTTTTAATTTTTTTTTTCAACGTTTATTTATTTTTGGGACAGAGAGAGACAGAGCATGAACGGGGGAGGGGCAGAGAGAGAGGGAGACACAGAATCGGAAACAGGCTCCAGGCTCTGAGCCATCAGCCCAGAGCCCGACGCGGGGCTCGAACCCACAGACCGCGAGATCGTGACCTGGCTGAAGTCGGACGCTCAACCGACTGCGCCACCCAGGCGCCCCAAAAGTGTTGCTCTTTCTGAATTGATAGAATCTAGGAAATGCGTCCACCCTAAATTCTCCCTTAATACTATATTCACTTTGTTTTCGGAACCGTAACTTGACTAGGTGTTATCAAATTGCAATAAATGTTTTCTGAACAGGCCTCTTCTCACATATTTTGTGTAAAGCATTTGTAACACCCAGAGTCGTACACCTGGAGTGCAAGGGAATGCTGGATTTGTGGCTCTAAAGGATGACAGAAGCCTCCCAAGTCCAGTGCCTGAGGCCCAGTTTTCCAGGTTTCCTGCTTCAGCCTCCCTGTGCTGCCATGTGTGCACCCTGCCCTGAGCCTCCCCTACTCCCCTGGCACCTGCAGAATGCCCCTTAGGTCTCCAGGCCCTGGGCAGGACAGCAACTTGGGGCTCTCTCTGATGGGAAACGGCATGGGCCTCCCTGGGGGTATGGAGGAGGCCCTCCTGCTAAGGAGAACCAGTGTTCCAGCTCTTCCATTGGTGTAAAGGAAACTTCAGGGTGAATTAGAACCCATGCTGATTAAGGAAGGATTGAGCCTTTATCTCACAGAAAAGGTGCTCTTTAGCTGGCCTCAGCTAATACAAGTTAGGTGCCCTGGCACAGGCCACACCCCTGGAACTGATTAAGCCACTGGTCATTGATGTGCTGTTTGAGTTAATGGAGTGCAGGTAGGGGGCCATTTGGATGGTTCTTCTAAGTCATAGAGGGTGATTGGGAAGTTGGGGGAAGCCTCACCCATGCATTACTTATGTGTTGGGTGGGCCTGACTCTCCCAGGCCCAGGGGACACAGGGGTCCTAGGTAAGAAGCCCTATACTGATGTCCACTGAAGTGCCCCTCTGGCCTGCCTGCCTTGATTCCTTGGAAAAACACTGGCCCAAGTGTTGGGTGACCAATTATGGGTCAGATGGAGCAGGCCTTGCTGAATGAAGTCACCCTTGACTAGCCGTCCTGGAGTGACCCATACTGGACTTTGGGCCCAAGAGGGCAGACCAGACCTTGAGTCCTGTCTTCCATAGGAAGTAAAAGCACTTTCCCTTCAGGATTTCCTTTCGGCTCCTATGGTGTTAGTATTCTTATTTCTGTGTCTTCTATGAAAAAATCTTCATTTATTTATTTTTCAATAGGTAACACCAGCCTGGTACAAAACTTAGAAGACGTCAGACAGTACAAATGTAAAAGCAAGCCTTCCTCTTGCAGGGACCCCTGTTCCAGTCCTCTCCCCAGAGTATTCCTTAACTCTGTTTTTAAACAGTCTTTGAAAACCATTCATTTCCTTTTATTTGTTAGTGTTTGCTGATGAAAGCTTAGAAAAATCCAGAAAAGGATGATGTTTTACTGCCTAGATTATCACTCTTTGTTTTTCAATGTTTGTTTATTTTGAGAGAGAGAGAGAGAGAGAGAGAGAGAATCCCAAGCAGGCTCTGAGGTGTCAGCACAGAGCCTGATACGGGGCTCAATCGCAGGAACCCATGAGATCATGACCTGAGCTAAAATTAAGAGTCAGATGCTCATGGGGCGCCTGGGTGGCCAGTTAGTTAAGCGTTCGACTTCAGCTCAGGTCATGATCTCACAGCCTGTGAGTTTGAGC